TTATACGACATCACTTCCATGTCCTACCATTTGGTGGATATACTGCTTGTAATTACAGTAAATGACTTATTAAAGCTGTAAACAGTTAATGATGTAAATTTTGCTCAAATTTCCGATAATCTCACATTGTACCGTTTTATTATAGAGTTATAAGTTATAACATTATAGCATTTTGTTAATGAATTGCTTTAATGTATTAATTAAATTCTGGGACAGAATAATGGAAATTAAATTCAATAATAATTGTAGACTTAATTTTGAGAAACTGTTTCTTATTTTCCTGACTATTGCTGTAATATTCTGTATAATTTTGCTAAAACACGTCTACAACTCATGACTTGAGACAAAAGACTTAATTATAGATTATAAGACTCGGAATATTGAAATTGTCATATTAAAAATTGTATGGATGTTTATTTGTACATGGTTAGTTGTGTTGATCCATCTATTTTGTGATCTTAAATAAATATTTCTTTTAATTTGAAACAATCGATAAACGAAAGTATTGTTATCTTTATATGTATATATCTTTACCATATGTAATATACATGTATGTAATCATATAATATATTTATAAAGAAATGAATTTGTGAAATAGATCACAAGTGCAACACTCAGTCATTATTCATATAATTGTTTAGAATATTTATTGGAGATAATAAGCATACATTATATGCCATGTATGCAAAGAATATGTCATCTGATGTATGTCTTTCAATCTTCATATTTAATTCTGTAACTCGTGTTTTTAATGTGTAATCCCTTTAAGAAATAGTTTTTACAATTCTGTTACATATTTCTGTCATTGGTTCCCATATTATTGAAAAAACAATTAATATAAACTTGTGATAACTTTAATTATAACTATTACTTCAATTTTATTTAATTGTTAATTAGCTGTCAATTTATATTATATGTATTACAATTTTCCCATAAAGAAATATAACTTGCTTGGTTATGTTTGCATTATACATGTAATCATTTTGTTTATCTCTAAAACCTGTAAATTATTAATATTATAAAATTGAGAGAATATAAATTTAAAACAAAATAATATTTAATTGCAGTAAAAATAATAACAGAGAGAATATAATTTGTTGGGAAATATGAAATACACAGCGAAAGCTATGCAATGATTTTATCGCAAAGTTTGCCTAACAAACAACAATTTATTTTAATAATAAAATTATAATTTAATTATTAAATGGTTTTATTAGTGAAATGTAACATTTTATGCCTTTTATTTTTATTATATTCTGGTTTTTGATAGAATATTATAGTAAATAAAAATAATATATTTTTAGCACTTATTTCATGAAATGTTTGTTTCAATGGATTTAATACTTTTAGTGCTCAATGTATTAGTTGGCCGTCAATAACAGCAATGGATTAGTCAAACAAATAACAAAATTCTGTTTTCATATATTACTTATAAATTTATAAATACTTTTACTTTTATTTGGATTATTCGTTAAATAATGACTAAAATAACAACTTTTTGTTATTGATAGGTATCTGTACCCGTCCTCTGCCACCACTGCCATCACCACCGATGCATCCATTATCTCACAATCAGTCCAATACAACATTTGCCAGCAATGAGTCTCTTCGGGATTACGAGTGGTTTTATACTGTGGAGAGAGAGGACGCCGAGGCTCTGCTCCTAACCCAAGAAGAAGACGGCGCTTATCTCGTGAGAGAGAGTAAGAGAGCGGGCAAATCGAATCCATACACTCTCACTATCTTTCATAACGGAAGAGTATTTCATCTAAACATTCGTAAAAGACCTGACGGTCTGTTCGCGTTGGGAAAGGAGAAGACCAGAGAAAAGGTATTCTCATTGCTTTCAATGCATTCCTTCCTTCCATTCAATCCAATATTTGATTTCTTAATCTTTTGATATATTGTTTTAATGACAAAATGATGTCTAAATATTATACACTAATAGATTGTATATAACGGTAATTAAATTAATAGTTACAGTATTTTGTGTACTCAACTACTCTGTACTCTAGAGTCTATTTTAGAGTTAGAATTTTGCAAAATGTTTTCATTAAAACCCTTGGTTTAATTTAATTAGTGTTAATCCATCTATAATTATATAATGAATATTTATTTTATTTATTCAAATTTATAAACTAGAATAATGTAATACTTTCCCGAGTTATGAAATGATAACATAAAATACAATTATTTATTAATGTTTTTTTAAACAGACATTCAAAACTGTTTCTGATTTGGTTTCATACCATACATCGGAACCAATACTATTGACAACGAGAGGTAATATATTTACATACATTGAATTGAATTGTTATTGAACTTTAATTAATGGACACTTTATTAATAGGCACTCCCGCGGGAAAGACACGTCTCATTACAACGCCTTCTTCTTCTGCATTATATTAATTGTAACCAAAGAAATGACTGAAATGAACGGATGACCGGCTATTCTTGTCTTATTAGAGCTCAAATACTAGTCATTTGTCGACTATTTCTTAAATTGTTATTTATTTTTTATAAAAATTGTATTAAATTTATATTATCTATAATTATATATTTGAAAGTTTGTTTAAAAGTATTTTTGAAATTAATTTCAATCTAAAATTAATTTAAATTGATTAACCTATATTCTTTTTGAAAACAAAAATTATATTTATTTGTTTAAATTAAATTAATTTTATAATTATTAGATGACTGTTAATAAACGGTATTATCATAATAATAATAATTGTCTCTATTTTAATTGAATTCTTTATAATTAAAAAGTACTTATTTAGGGCTCTATTAATCAATCAATAGAGTTAGACATCACTTGAATTAACCACTATTAATACCACTTGAATGATAACCATAAGTGCATATAATTGTCATAAGATATAAGTTTTAATGGATTTTCAACAAAAAACTAGTGAAAGTATGAGAGAATTAAAGCAAATGTTTGAATACAACACTCGTATACTTTAGAGAAGAGTGTGTAGGCATTGGCGCACTTGCATTGAATGCATTTCTATACTCATGAGATCTATTCCAGTGAACACTTCATACCATTCCTGACTCTCTTAGAGGACAGAAGGATCTGTTGAATAGTTTTTGATTGAAAATAATTTCAATGGATTTATTGCCATTCAGAGGGAAGGCCTGCTGGCAGATCCGGACTGCCAGTAATGGCTCGCTCGACACCAATCAATCACTGAGTGTTGAAGAATGTATTAAAGCGGCGATTATTTTCTTGATAACAGTCGCTGTGATTGTGTTGAACGCACTGATGATTGTTGTCCTTCACAGCAAAAACTATTCCCGATATCTGAGAGATTTGCCTAAGATTTTGATGACATCTTTGTCTCTGACTGATCTGGCGGTCGGCACTCTCGTCACACCAATCAGTTTCCTATCGGTTGTCAATCAGTGTTGGCCATGGAATCAGACGGTGTGCGCCATCGAAGCACTTCTTATCTCTGCATTGTTTCACGAGTCGACCCTTTCTTTACTTTGCATTGCTATCGATCGGTATATTTGTATCGTTCATCCGCTCCGGTATCACAATTTGATGACCAAAAAGGTATTTACAATACTTTTGTTTTAGTTATTAACAAGTTTTAAAAAAGTTATGAATTCTTAAAAACTTTGTTGTGATAAATGTGATGAATATTCTGATACTTTAAGTGATATGTGATAAAAATGTCAATTTTATGTGATTACATAATTATATAACAAAAAGTATAAACATTTTATTTTTGGCAAACAATTTACGTTAATATGTATAAACATGTATTAAAATAAATCTACAAATACTAAAACGCTGTCATTTTAAACATATGATAAAGTGTAACATTTTTGGATTAATATTTTAAATTCTAAAATAAATAGTATATAATTAATAACAGGATATTTAGCATCAAATCCTAGTATTACATCAAATATCATAATCGCATATTTATTATACAATATTATATTTTAACAAAATATTAAAAACTTGAGAATATAATAAACTTGCAATATAATTTTTGTATACAGTATTCACAATATTGTCAGTACAATATATTCTGAACAAATTATGAATGATACATTCTAATATACTGTCAATTAATTATGTATCAACTATAATATAAAAATAATTAGAAAATTAGTGTTTACTATACGCTACTGTACTTATACTATAAGGAATTACTTTTTAAGTTGAAAATTTATCATAAAATTAGTCATCCAAATATTTAGGTATTGTAACATTGCATAACAGTTTGTATAAACATTAAGAATCTTATGGTTAATGTATTTTTTCTTTTAAAACCAATGAATGGACAAAATTCTATGCCTTTAAAAAGTGTATTTAAGTATTTTTATATTAATGGCATTCATATAAATACATAATAATTCTTAATTTTGAGTTTTTAATGGGGTTTTTAAAGTAAAGTAAACTTTATATAAAAAGCTATGAACTAGAGTCTAGACTAAGCCTGTCCAGTCTTTTTTAGTATATCACAAGTACAGTTTCACAGTGTGCCATAAATAGGTGGCGCAACGGTCAGTAAAAAAGTTTAGGTTTGTCAGTATTAAACAAGAAACACCACGTGAAGGT